GAAAGTGACCTGAGATGACATGATGTGAATTGGAGCTATAGAAAGAAACTGAATTTAATAGAATTTTTGCCAGGGGTTGTGCAAAGAGTCCCTTTGCAGATGCGTGGCATAATCAGATGTTAAGAGGATCTAAAGGCCCTAATGGTTCAGGGTGCACATGCTGAGTGATAAGAAAAACTTAGACCTTATATTTTTACTCTGTGACTCTTGAAGGCGAAGGCTGTGCTGAAGTTTATTGAAGCCGTTTCAGAGAAGACCCTGAGGAGCACCGTTGCTCTCACCGCCGCCCGAGGTCGAGGGAAATCTGCTGCGATGGGCCTGGCTGTTGCAGGCGCTGTGGCTTTCGGGTACAGATAAAATTAGTCACAGATACACATTTAATTGGCTGTATTATCTCTGATGCATGCTTTGCTTTTTAAATCCAGCTACTCCAACATCTTTGTAACGTCCCCGAGCCCCGACAACCTCCACACCATGTTCGAGTTCATCTTTAAAGGCTTTGATGCTCTGCAGTATCAGGTAGGTTCCACCTGCATCTTCCTCCCCTATATGGTAATAAATCCCCAAATATTGCAGAGAAGATATAAAACCTCGGTTTTAAATTTGCAGGAACATCTTGACTATGAGATCATTCAGTCTCTAAATCCTGAATTCAACAAGGCAGTAGTGCGAGTGAACATCTTCAAAGAGCATCGGCAGACGATTCAGGTAACTTAAACCCAGTGTCCTCGTCTTAATTAGATGTTGTTACGACGGAGGGCTGAAATACATCTTCCTGCGTTTGTCCCATCAGTACATCCATCCTGGGGATGCAGTGAAACTGGGCCAGGCGGAGCTGCTGGTCATCGACGAGGCTGCAGCCATTCCTCTTCCTCTTGTTAAGAACCTTCTGGGACCTTACCTGGTGTTCATGGCCTCCACCATCAACGGGTCCGTAAGAACATCGTTTATCTCAAACTGCTGCTGAAGCTCAAAAACCCAGAGAATATATGAGAGAATTTAGTCTTTTGATTTCCATTACAAACTGGGAGAAACTTCCTGAAGATTTTTTCTGACGAGCCAACGCCAGGTCTCCACAGCTGCGTAGTTTAGGCCTAAAGACGCTGTTTTTAAAGCCTCTGTCACACCTTGACCATTTAGACAAGCGCATGTCTGACATACGAAAAGTCTGACAAAAACGCTGCCATATGATGGATAAGTTATGGGTACGTTTAGTATAAGTTATGAGCTCGCTGTAGTACGCTGAAACACTCTGGCACACGTCAATATATGGCAGGTATGTCGAGAAATTTGGAGCATTTTGAGCGTATGCCATACATGTGGCATAAGTTACTGGTAAGTTATCTGATCGTTTAAATTCGTTAAGTGTAAGTTACTTATAAGTCGTGGCGTCCAGATTATCCAAAACCTCTGAGTAACTTGTGCATAACTTCTGTGTAACTGAACAACTTATCTGACGAGTAAAGGCTGTTTTTTGATCAGAAACAGACAGTGCTGCAGACAGGAGGCCTCTGATTGTTCAAATTTACGTCCGCTCTACATGATGCGTATTTCCTGTTTAGTACCTTACTGGTTTGTTTGGTTTGTATGACCGCCATTGTGGAAAATGACTTGTTAAAATTGATTTTTGCCCTCATGTCCCTCCATTGTCGCACAAACTTGCCCCCACTTCCTCACCGCCTCAGGCGTATCTAGACCCACAAGCGGCGTAGAATAACATAGCTCAGATCACCTTCAATATTGAGCATACATCAAAAATATCTGCGTCATACCTGCAACACACTGCTGCAGGAGGATAACCAGCCCTTTACAGACGAGCGCTGAACGTGTTTCTAACTTCCAGCTACTGTATAATGGCGTATTGGCAGCGTTTTGGTATAAAGGGGGTTCACAGGAGGAAACCGTCAGTTCTCCTCCAGACTTCATCCCCATCATAGGGTGAGCCAGAAGGTGAGGCTGATGGATCCTCCCTGCGTTCACGCCCACCACCAACACACTTCCTAGCAGACATGAGGATGAATCTGCAGCCACAAAAAACCTTCTTAGTTTCTTTTTTCGGTTAAAAGGAAATACCGTATTTTCACAACTAAAAGGCGCATATAAATGTCTTTTTTTTTCCCCTCAAAATGTGCGGCGCGCCCTATGTGTGTTCTTACTGCGGACATTTGAGACCACCATGAGAACGTTAAAGGGGGAAGTGTGGGCATGGATTGTGTATAAAAGAACAGGTATGTGCTTTATGCAGAACTCCTCATCTCCTCATTGAGGAGATGATGAAAGCGTGGCTGAGGGAGGTGAATGTAAGAAGACCAGATGTTTTTTTCCACGCATCACCATCGCTGTTAATCTGTGACTCCATGCGTGCCCATCTCACAGCCGATGTGAAAAACATGGTGAAACAAATGAATGCTGTGCTCGCTGTTATTCAACCGCTCGACATTGGTGTGAACCGGATGCAGCAGGTGCAGCGAGTTTACATGCAAAGTCAATGGTTGACGCGCGTATAGGCGCCGCAAAAGGCCCCGCAGCGCGTCGGGAGCGTTTAAGCATCTGACGCGCCGCCAACGCGCTGCTGCTGCTCGAGATGGAAAAATTGAAGTTTTGCTGCTAGACTGCAAATATAGCTGCAAGGCAAATAAAGGATAGTGAAGCTCCACCCAACGCACATCAGACAAACTTTTGCAGCCAGAGCAGCAAAGCTGCTTCAGCCGCGCATCAGAACTAACTGGTACAATCTAAACTGCAGACACCAGGATAATAAAAGCGAACATATTCTGCTGGCAGATTTCTGCATTTTAAGTTAATTTATGCGTCAATAAACTTTCAGAGGAGTGATCACAGCGCTCTGTATCATCAGTGATGTGTCTGTCTCTCTGCCAGCTCCCAGGTTTGATTAATAAATACATGAATAAAGCACAATCATACTCAGTTTTGTTCCCGCTCTATTTTTAAATACGCAGTAGAGGTAGTAGTCCAGTGCGCCTTATGTGTGTGTTAAATACAGTAATGGCACACATAACTGAGAGTGCGCCTTTTAGTACGGTGCGCCTTATGGTTGTGAAAATACGGTAGGTCAAAACCGTGATTAAAGACATCTTTATATGCAGACCAGGCGTCTCAGGGAGCAGCTTTGTAATGCCCATGAAATTATGTTTGTGCATAATATTATTGGAATTATGAAGGCTGTCATAAGTCCATAAGTTCTGGACTCATTACACATACTCTATGCATACACCCAAAAGTGATAAAATGCATAGAAAGTTCAGCGTATGCCAGCGTTTTAGAAGATTCTGGGACGCCAGGCATGCGCTGGATAAATTGGCGAGGTGGGACAGGTCCCTAAAATGTTGATGTACGGATGGACGGCACTGAGTTGGTCCATTTTCTGTTTGCCTCTGCAGGTATGAAGGCACCGGACGCTCTCTTTCTCTAAAGCTGATCCAGCAGCTGAGGCAGCAGAGTGCAGAGAGTCAGCAGAACCTGTCAGCAGAGAACCGGAGCACCAACACAGCAAGACTGGCAGCAGGTTTTTAGCCCCGCCCCCTCCACAGCAGAATGAATATCTCTCTTTGATCTAACCAGCTCCTGTTGTCACGTCTCTGTGCTCAGCTCGCACTCTGCACGAGGTTTCCCTCCACGAGTCCATTCGTTACGCCCCTGGTGATCCGGTGGAGAGGTGGTTAAATGAACTCCTCTGTCTCGATTGTCTCAACATTCCCAGACTCATTTCTGGCTGCCCGCTGCCACAGGCCTGTGAACTGTATCCTTTATTTTTTCTTTTAAGTGTTTTGCTAAATAGTTCAATTCATAAAATGTCTTTTACATCAATCCTGAAAAATATAATCTTGTATTTTCACTTAGAAATGTTTTAAAAATGTCATGTGTTCTAAATTTTATGCTTTAAAGCAATTTAAAAATGTCTACCGCCTCAGAATGAGCCATTTAAAATTCTGACATGATTAAAAGCAGAACTCACAATAATCTTAATGGGGATTCTGGTCAAATATGTTAAAATATGAGTTTGATATGAAAGTTAAACAATCCAACCACTTTGTAGTATTTTTTAAAAATAAATCATTGTTGCTAAATCAACAAATTTCTTACAAAGAATCAATAGTTCATTCAATAGTAATTCGGTATAAACATCAATAACAAAAAATCCTTAGACTCAACACTGCAAAAAATTGAAATCTAAGTAAGTCTTTATTCTCTTAAAATAAGTGCGTTTTTTCTCGAATTGAGGATGAAAGTGAGACACTTTGCCAATGGAACAAGGCAATTTACATTTAAAATAAGAAAAAAACTATTGTATTGTCTTATTTCAAGTTCATATTTTCTAATTATCTTATTTTAAGACTAAAGATACTAATTTCATTGGCAAATCATCTTATTTACCTTCTCAAATTAAGGGTAAATACACATTTTTTTTCTTATTTCTAGATCGTTTTTGCAGTGAAAACACTCCGTTTATATCAGCAAACAGCCCCAAAAAAACCCTAATAACTAAAAGTCCAAAATTGCCCTTTTTTTTAAATTATTTTTTTATAATAATTCCCACAAAGGAGTTCCATATCCTCCGAACTCAAAGCAAAGTCCTGGAAGTGTTTAAGTCCAAAGTCTCATTCCAAAATTAAAAACAAAACAAACGTCAAACCCCCAAAAACAAGATGAGATTTAAAAAATGGTACTACGAAAATTCCCCATAAATAGAAAAAAAGTCCAGATCTCACCGGTAGCGTCTTTCTTTCCCCTTGGCGACGTCTTCTTGCACCGGGCGGCGTCCTCTGGGTGCAAACTCCGATCAGGTTTTTAAATGCCCGTTCTGCGATGCTGGCATCAACTTTAATTGCTGTTTTATCCTCTTTTATTTTTTAAAAGTTTTTGACATTCAACCAAAACAAAATCTGCTGTACAGATCCTACAGTGTCTTCCTCTCCTGTCCAGCCGCGCGCCGACGCCCCTTTTTATTTACTAATTTTCTCCACACCAAAAAAAAAAAAACAGCATTTTCATACCCAAAATCAGTTTTAAGCAGCAGAGATTCAAAATAATAGTAAGAATGAAAGAACGACTGTTCTACCAAACAGTTTATCATCTGAACACTTTAATGTACTTATTCAGGAAAAGAAAACAACATAATGGTTATGCAAC